CACCAGTATGTACTCATGGTTTTATAGATAAATACAAAAATAGATAACAGATGTGTGTTTGTGTATATGACTATATCCACGCACATACATTTTCGTACATATACAAGTGTGTGTATGTATGTACAGTTATGAACATGTATATGTGTATATTTTAGCTCTGTCCATTAAAAGATGTAGAAGCAGTGGCACCTGAGTAGCAGTGAGCACACCTGGTGCATAGATCTTGGTTTCTAAATAACATACCCACCTAAAAGGAATCAGGGCTCCTTGGAGAAATAGCAGATTTCAGGGGTGGGACAGGGGACTTGCCAGCTGAGTCTGGAACATTTTGTTGTGCTAGAAAGTAACGAAGTTCTCAGTTAATGATGGAACATATTGAATGGCATAGGTACCAGCTTGAACGGATTCCCACTTGCCAAATCTGGGACAATTTGAGCATCAAAATACATAATAATGGGTCAGAACTCATTGAATAAAGTAGGAATCCATGAGTCCATGTTGATAATAAACAAATAATAGATAGATAGGGTTGAATGGAAAGCTTTGGTTATAATAGAATGACAACTAATGATTGAAAAGGAATAATGAAATTTGAAAAATCACCATTTTGCAACCGTGATAGTAATAATTGATTCAGTTAAGAATCATCAAGAGTTCCTAACTGGTAGGAAGACTCTTGATGAAGGATGGGCTATTTTTATTGTCCCAAGTACCTTCTTATCCATTACATGGGAGAGAAAATAAGTTTACAATGGAGAAACCTGGTGAACACCACCCTAACCAACTGATCAAAGTTGACATCACCAATGACATCATACGCCTCTTGATATCTTGCACTGGGACAAACACGATATCATTTATGTAGCACTCCCGCCAAAAATGCATAGCCTGAATCTGATTATGAGGAAAAGCAGTTTAAAGTAGTTTATTCTACAAAATACCATATTTTTACACAAATAACGCACACCTTCTATGTTTGTTTGCCAACCACATCCCTCCCCTGCAAGGTATTTTCCTAAGCGTGCTATGTTAATTTTTCTTTTTTTAACAGCAACATGTAAAAAAAATTGGCATAGCAGCACTTATGAAAATACCTCACAGGGGGAGGATGAGGTTGGCAAACAAACATAGAAGGCAGGCATTATTTGTGTAAAAATATGGTAAATGACATTTATCAATATCCATGTCATGAAAGATAAAATCTGAGGAACCATTCTACATTAAAGGAGCCCAAAGAGACATGAAAATTAAATGCACTGTCTGGTCTGGGCTTGTATGTTTGACCTGAAAGTAAAATGTTAATAAGAACTTTATGGGGATAATTAGAGAACTTTGAATAATGTCTTGATTAGATAATACTATACATCAATGTTAAATGTCCTGATGCTTAAAATTGCATTGTAGTTGTGTCAATGAGTGTTTTTTTTTTTTTGCTCTTCTGAAATACACACTGAAGTTTTTAGGGATATAGGGACATGATGTCTGAAAATTTTCAAATGACTCAGTAATGTACATATAAACATAAAGACAGAAGTAGAGACATTGATAAGTCAAATACGGCAAAATATTAACAGTTGGTAAATCTTGTGAAGGGTATACAGGAGGTCTTTGTATTATTCTTGCAATTTTTCTTTAAGTTTGAAAAATTTTAAAATAAAAAGTTAAAATTTTTCTCTTAAAACGTGAACTTAAGCAGTTACTACTTCCACTACATAGTATTTTACATTAAGCTGATCAGGTCTGCCTGTGGTCTTTTATTTTAAAAACAGAACAAAAAAAAAATGTTTTGCTATACACCCTTAGCTGTTCGCTCCCTTAAAAGAGAATTTATTCAACAAAGGTTTGGTTAGATTAAAGCTAGGTACAGAAAGGAATAATCCTAACCATTTGAGATTCATAAGGTTTATGCACCAGTTTTATTTTCATAGGAAATGTGTTAAACTGGAATATCTAGCAAGTTGAATAAGGATTTCTGCCTTAAGTTAAGGGTCACCAAAGAATTTTATACTTATCCCAGTATAAACTGGCCAATACTTTCCCAAGCCCTCTTTCCAGAATTAGCTGAGGAGACCCATTTTACTATTTCACAAGTAATTACCCCTAATGCTTTTGTCTGACTTGTTTCCCAATATGACTCCTCTTCCCCCATCTCTTCCTCCCCAGCTCACCACCATAGTGACATTGAATTAGATTTCCCCTAATGTCCCTTCAGAGTCTCTGGGTGGCACAAACCATTAAGCATTCCGATACTAAACAAAAGCTTGGAGATTTGAATCCCCCCAGATGCACCTTGAAGAAAGACCTTGCAACCTACTTACTAAAGATAACAGGCAGCCATTGAAATCCCTATGGAGTGCAGTTCTACTCCAAAACATGTGGGGACACCATGAGTTGAAATCAACCCATTGGCATCTGGTTTGGGCTTTTTTTAAAATACTCCTTCCCATTCTTGAACAATCTATGATTCTAAAAATGTAGTTCAGTAGAGGATTACTAATGTGAAATATCAGAGAGAGGATCCTGTCTGACATATTCTTTAGCAAAGATGTGTTTTGTCACCTTCTTTTGTAGCCAATTCCAATCAGAATCTAAGTGAACTGTTGCTTAACAGATGGCTAAAAGATCAATAATTTAGTGAATATTTTTAAATGCTTAGTAATTAGCATATTATTTTTGTACTTGGTTAAGTAAACCTTGGAAACCCTGGTGGCATAGTGGTTAAGTGCTACGGCTGCTAACCAAAAGGTGGGCAGTTCAAATCCACCAGGCACTTCTTGGGAACTCTGTAGGGCAGTTCTGCTCTGTCCTGTAGGGTCACTGTGAGTCGAAATCAACTTGACGGCAGTGGTTTTTTTAATGGGTTAAATAAACCTTGCTGTTTTCCCTAAGTTAGCCAGGAAATCACCATTACTGCCATTTATAAAAACTTTTTTATACTTCTTGGACAATTAAATTATTTCTTGCCCAACTTATCTAACATTTATTCAGTAGATATTTGTTAAGCACCTACTGTGTGCCTGACTGTGCTAGTGAATCTTGGGTGTATCAGGGAATAAAGACATAATCCTTGCCATCGTGGAGCTGACAGTTAATGTAACCTAAATTAATTAGATTTTATTGTATATATTTGATTCAGGGGATTCATGTCATGAATATTCTTATGATTTTTGTAAATTATTCTGATTTTATCTAAAAACTCTTTACAGTACTTACAGATCATCAGTATTTGGAGAAAACCCCACTGTGTGCCATTTTGAAACAAAAAGCTCCTCAACAATATCGCATCCGAGCAAAACTGAGGTCATATAAGCCCAGGAGACTGTTTCAGTCAGTTAAACTTTATTGCCCTGAATGTCATACACTGTAAGTATTTTCCACAACAGAACAGAAGTTTTCATTTCGTATTATTGGTGTATATATGTGTGTTGTTGTCGTGTGTCATTGAACCGATTCTGACTCATAGAGACCCTATATGACAAAGTAGAGGTGCCCCATAGGGTTTCCTAGGCTGTAATATTTACAGGAGCAGATCGCCAAGTCTTTTCTTCCGTGGAGCCGCCAGTGGGTTCAAACCACTGACCTTTTGGTTAGCAACGCAGAGCTTAACCACTGCGCCACTGGGGCTCCTTGTGTATATATGTGTACATATATGTAATTTTAAATAAGTCCTAGCAAGGAGTAAATTGTGATTTTATATATTGTTATTTTGAAAGAATGGTGATATTTTTTAAGGGAAAGTACTACATTCTTAGAAAATAAATCCTTTTGATTTTTCTTAGTAATAACAAATGAAAGTAGGTACTGTTTTCACGGCTGAAATTGAGCTTAATAGCGCTGATACATGCAAATGAAAAATAACTTGTGAAGATATTTGGGGAGACTGTCTCATTTGTCACAAAAATATCTTCTTAACTATAAACCTTTACTAACTAAAATCCATAGATAGAAAGAATTCCAGTAGTTGATTTCTAATTAAGTGATACCAGAAAGCCTTGTTAGAAATATTTCTGTCCTGCTTAATAACTAGTGTACAGTAAATTTAATTTCACTTTACTTTGGTAATTGGGAATTTCTCAGTGTCTTGAGGTCCTTATTCTAAACATCAGTTATTATATAAATATACAAATAAATGTGTATACAATATTAGAATTAATATATTCTTAGCTTAAGACTGGTAGTGCAGTGGTTAAGAGCTTGACTACTAACCAAAAGGTCAGCAGTTGGAATCCACCAGCCACTCCTTAGAAACCCTGTGGGGCAGTTCTACTCTGTCCTATAAGGTCTCTATGAGCCGTCAACTCGACGGCAACAGGCTTGGGTTTTTTTTTTTTGTTTGTTTAACGCAAGATATAGTCTTAAAATTATTTTTAATCCCTATTTGTCTTTTTCATGGAGTTTGCTTATTTTCCCTTTGAATGTATAAAATGATGTTTTAGAAAATGTAGGTAATTAATATACATTACCAATGACCACATTCCACTAAATATGCATATACAGTTGTAAATACATATATACAATTCTATATATTTGTGTATATGTATGTTTTTATGGTATATTCCTGTGTATTTCTGTCTGTACTAGTACATATTCTCCAAAATGTAAATATAATCCTATTTGGGAGCTTTTTGATAATCAGATCTCCTTAAATAAAATATGAAAGACCTGTCTTCTACCCACTTAAGCTTGAAATGGGTAGTTGAGATTAAAAAGATTAAAATATACCATTCTTGAGGTATTATCAAATTTTGGTTCAGTGAATTATGTAAAATACAGCTTTTTTAAAACCTAACCCCTTGTCCCCTTGTGATCTTTTTTTTTTTTTTTTTTTTTGAACAAAACCATTTCAGAGGGGCTAAGAGATGTTTTAAGGTTATACTGTTGGTGACAGAACTAGGGCAAGAACGTAGACCTTTTGATTCCAGATCATACTCTTTCTGGATATCATGCCTGCTATATCAGACTTAATCACAGGACTTTTTAAAATTATTATATTAAAGCGAGTTGAAATGAATATTGTTTTGTAAAGTAGATGCCCTATGAAAGTGAGATCACCTGGGTGCTGCATGGATATTCAACTGGAGGAAAGGGACAGGGAACTGCTACCTTTTTTTTCCCCACTGGGAAGCTTGGCATGATGACAGAGGCAAAGTTCTCCTCATAGGGTATAGTGTTCTACCAAGGATGGTGGCCGGTTTCCTTGATTTCAAGTTCTGTTGCTTGAACTATTTATTATTCTTCTTATGTTTATATAATCTCCTTTTAAAGAATACTTTGTGGAATATACTATTTTTTAAATTAATGTGAAAAGACATTAATTTCTTAGACTTTTTTAGCTGCTAGAAATAACTATAAGTAATTTTTGTATCGCAGAACCAAGGAAGTGTAATTATGGTGTGTATATACTTAGCCACGAAATATCATCAAATATTTGTCTATTAAAAAAGAATTATTTAATCTGTAAGATCTGAAAATCGAACTTTCTCCATATATTTTTTTAAAAAGTAGATGGCTCTTAAAAGTAGCTGGGTAATTTGTTAAATAAGAATTCTCACGCTTACCTAAGTTATTTTCTATTATTTCATTGTCAATAATCTTAGGCAAGAAGTTCCACATGATGGCGATTTGGATATAATTTTGCAAGAGGGCGCAACTAAAACCCCAGATACCAAACTACAAAATACGTCATTATATGATTCCAATGTCTGGACCACTAACGATCAAGGAGAACGAAAAGTAGCCATTCATTTTGTGAAAAATAATGGTATTCTCCCACTTTCAAATGAGTGTCTAATTTTGATAGAAGGTCAGTTTTTTTATTATATTTTTTACTATCTGATTTTATTAGAATGCTGCTTTTGCATATGTCTTTCTCTGACTATTGTAAAATATATTTTATAGGCAGCCTATTGTATATAAAGTCAAAATCTTGTTAATTTAAATTTAATAAAATGGAGCACATTTTATTTAAAAACTAGATTCAAATATATATATTTGTGTGTGTTTGAATTAAAGAAATTATACATTAAAATCAAGCATTTGCATTTAGCCATGCTGGTTGATTCTTTCACGTAGTCTTGTCAGATCCAAGCTCATGTTGAGTAATAATGAAGAGGCTGCTTGCTTATGTACAGTTGCTCTTAGATTGGCCTCTGGATGTCACTGTTGTTTCATAAAAATAGGATAAAAGCCATTCATTAATATCTAAATCAAGGAAGGGATTGTTGAAACAAGTAAAGATAACTTGACAAGTTTTAAAAGAATGAAATTTTGAGTTACATTTATTTTTACATTTCTTTTCCATATATTTATCTAACATATATTCCATATACATTTAGTTTTTTCAGTGCCAAATTGTGAAGTTTCATTTTTTTCCTTAAAGTTCTTTTTCCTCTTATAACCATGCATAATAAAAGAGAAAAATCTTTCATTTGTATTAGAGAAATATTTGGCTATAGTTTATAAGTGTACCAAGATAAGCTTACTTATTATCATTTTTATTGATGACATTTTTCTATTTATAAAAATAATCATTTAAAAAATTTAGAAAGTATGTATATGTATATATATGAATGCACATGTATATAAACATTGGTATCATTTTCATGAAAATAGCTCTCTTTTTAATACAGTTACAGTGTGCCAGAAACTACTGTAGGTGATTTCTATACATTAATTCATTTGATCATCACAACAACCCTATGTGGTACTATTATATGCTGTTTTTTTATAGATGAGAAAACTGTGGCACAGAGAGGTTAATTCTTTTGCCCAATATGGCTAGTAAGTGGTAGAACTGAGTTGTTTCCTGTTTTTTGACGTAGTAAGTAATTCTGTGATGAACTTTATTTCTCCTTCAATGAAGTGTAATTTTGGTCATAAGGAGGCATTAACTAAATGTTGTTGAGTTACATTCAAGTAAAGCATATTCCCATGTGCACATGCTTTAGCATCATATGAGATGACCTATTCCTCTTCCCTACCAACATGTACTAGCATTTTTTAAAAGTTGGCTATAAAGTGAAATGTGATGTCTTAATCCATTGGCAATATTTTAATCTGTACCATGAGATGCTGTAAATGGAGGTGGGGGGGAACAAAAAAAAGTGGAATAAGACTATTTGTATGCCCTAAAAATAAAGCCATGGCCATGTCATGTTCTATAAGAGCTGTCCTCATAGGGCCAACTAAAAGGATGTCAGGTCTGCCTTAGGGTCCTACTCTGTTATCCTGCCTCTTACAGAATTCTGTATGAAAGCCAAGCTGGCCTTAAAGGTCCAAAGGAAGCTTGAATAAAGAAGCTCCCCTTTAGCCCCCAATCCAGTCTTTAATTACCACTCATCCCACAAACTTCAGTCTCATCTGCTGTTCCTCAATTCCCATCTGACCCTCCAGCCATAGCAAACTGGTGACACGTCCCTAAACCCAGCAGGTTTTTCTGTGCCTCTTTGCCATGCCATTGCTATTCTCTCTCCTGAAAATTTCCTTTCCACTGTTTCTAGAAAAGTAAGCTCAGTAATTACCTTTATTCAGCAATTCATATCAAATAATTAATGAGCACCTACATGTACTAACCACTTTTCTGATTCATAGGGTAGGTTTAAGTGATTCTTATTACTTTGTGCTTTCATTACACACTGTATATAATTCTAGTAGAGCATTTCTCGCCTTGTATTATATATGTGTTTTGTTGTTTCCCTTTTAGACTGTGAGCTTCCTAAGGACAGGGTATATGTTTATTTTAGTCTAGGTATCTTTAGTACCTAGCATAGTACAACTGACATGTAACTGACTCCCAGTAAATTGTACTGAATAACAAAGTTCATCCAGAGTAATAGCACTTTACCTTACAGAGCTGTTAATGGAAGTCAAATGAGAGTATATTTAGAAGCCCTTTGAAATTTAAAAGGGTAACATACTAATGCAAGCTATTTTTATTTTATCATATTTCTGAATATTATACTCAAGCCAAAGGCTCATTGATTGGAATGTTTAGTCCATTTAATTTAATGTACTTAATGATAAGGTAGAATTTACATCTGCCATTTTGTTATTTGCTTTCTATATGTCTTAACATCTTTCTTGTTCCTCTTTTCCTTCCTTATTGCCTTTGTGTTAAATGGATATTTTCTAGTATAGCATTTTAATTCCCTTCTTATTTCTTTTGCTTCTTTTTTCTTTTAAGTTATTTTACTAGTTGTTGCCCTGGGAATTACAGTTAACATCTTAATTTATAAACAATTTAGTTCAGATTAATAACAACTTAATTTCAGTAGTTCATAACTGTGCTCCAATATACCTCCATTCCTTCCCCCTCCTTTGTGTTATTATTTTCATACAAATTACATCTTTATATAAGTCCATCAACACAGTTTTATAATTTGCCTTATGCAGTTGTCTTTTAAATCAGAATAGTGAAAATCTTGTTATACTTTGGCTGTCAGCTTTATGGTTTTTTGATTATTTGAAGCACAGTGTCCCTGGTATAAAAGGAAGATTTGTATAAAGTTAAGAATATTGTTGTTAGCATTTCACAAGCCCTATATTTTACTCAAGTCTCAGCATTTTTGTACAGTAGTATATTTAATCAATGTGCAAGATCCTAACTTTACAAATTATTATTTTTCACAGTAACTGTATTGAATCTCTCAATTTATGACTCTTACTGCCTTTTTCTGTCAGTCCCTTTGGGCCTTTACTATAGTTCATTTGTCACTTAGTAGGGAGGCCATTTTGCCGCATTGTATTTGTGCTGTTTGAAGGGTTTGTTTATTCTTTTTTAACAGGAGGTGCACTCAGTGAAATCTGCAAACTCTCAAACAAGTTTCATAGTGTAATTCCTGTGAGATCTGGCAATGAAGACCTGGAACTCCTTGACCTCTCAGCACCATTCCTTATACAAGGGAATATACACCACTATGGGTATGTTTTAAACTCTGGGCATTTTTAGAATTAAAAACTGTTTCAGTAGTTTTTATTTTTATTATTCTATCCCACTGGTTGGTATATGTTCAGTAGATACTTATTGAATACCAGCTTGTATGTACTAGGTTCTTTTAATTAGCATATGTATTGAAGAGTACATACTAGGTGTAAGGTTACCAAGTTTTTGAACCTCAGCCAGAGAGTAATAACTCATTTGTTTTCTTTTATGAAAATTTAGATGCTAGTTACAGATAAAGTTTCAGAGCTCCATACCTACTAGAAGTGGAGTAATTAAATTCCACAATTTGAACCACTTAGTTAAACAGTTTGTTGCTACTAAGAAATGGAAGATAATAGAATATATTAGGAGCTAGAAAGATTTAGAAGATTTCTTGATTTGGAAGAAGGGGGTGAAAATAAAATATTAACGATCACCCTGGAACTGCTTGGCTTTAAAAAACCTTGGATTACAGAAATACATCTTGTTATACCATCTCACTCCTTTTCCTGTTCCCAGTTGGTAGCACTTGTTACTTCTTGTTGTTGCCATCAGGTTGGCTCAGCATAACAAAACTTTGCTGGTTCTGCACCATTTTCATGATAGTAACACTGTATCAAACAATATTATTTTGTGATCCATAGGGTTTTTATTGGCTAATTTTCAGAAGTAGATCACCAGGCCTTTTTTCCTAGTCTTAGTCTGGAAACACCGCTGAAACCTGTCTACATGGGTGCCGTGCTGGTATTTAAAATACTGGTGGCATAACTTCCAGCATCATAGCAGCGCACAAGTCACCATAGTCTAACAAATTGACTGACAGGTGGTGGTTACATCTCATTGTTGTAAGTGTCTATCTTGATTTAAATTGAAGAATTACATGCTACATTCATATCTCTCTGATTGTGACTTCTAAAGTCTTTGGTAAGCCTGCAGAAATTGCTGTGGGTTTTGTCCCATATACCATATACAAAATTTTACAAAGTTTCAGTCATAAAGTGGAACTAGTGAGCCACTGGGTTGAATCCCTGGGTCATAGCTATTTTTACTCTGAGGTACCTATTGTCCTTGTCTTAGCCTGCGTTCTCTAGAGGAGCAAACCAGTGGTACATATACATAGAGAGAGAGATTTACTTCTAGGAAATAGCTCACGCAGTTATGGGGCCTGGCAAGTCACAAATCCATCAGACAGTTAGTAGACTGGAAACCTCTGCTGGCTTGGCGTTGCAGGGGCTGGTGAATCCAAAATCCGCTGGTCAGTTGGCAGGCTGGAGACTTCTGCAGGCCTCCATCCTGAGAACCAGAGGTCACGTGATAAGAAGAGTGCAGGATCAAGAGAGAGAGACCAAGCTTTGCCAGAACATCCACTTACATACTGGAGGCACGCCTTACCCTAAAGAAACTCCCCTTTCAACTGATTAACTGATCACGTCATGGAAAGTGATTGTATTATATTATATCAAGGAAAAGCAAACAGTCCAGTGTCTGCCCCACCACTGAGAATCATAGCCTAGCCAAGTTGACACATAACATTAACCATCACAGTCCTTAGTTATATTTCTTATTGGACTCATGACCTCAAAGTCAGTTTCATCAAGATTTACCCACCAGTTAATTAAAAAATAAAAACCCATGAAATTCTGTTTTCTTTTGTTTTGACTCTTCTCCTTGTTAGCTATGTGACTTAGAGCAAGTAGCTAATCTTGCGTATGTTTCAGTTATTTAATTTTAAAAATGAGAATAGTAATAAAACCCATTCTACCTAGTTGTTGTGAGGATTAAACAAAATAATGCATTTAGCAGAGTTTTTGGCACATTGTGCAAAATACATTTAATAGTCTTTTTTCCTGCAGATAATTTTGTTGTTGCTGTAGCTGCTGCTGATTTATCCGATACCTTAGTTTCCTTATTAAAATACTTTTATCTAGTCAGTAATGTTTTTTAATTATTTATTTCTGTTAGAGATGAAATATTTATATATTTGAAGAGTGGAAAGGGGGATAAAATTTTTATATTTTTATGTTTTTATTCAAGTGTATTTTTAAAGTATATTTTCTGATCAACATCTCATAAACATTATGATACATAGTCAAGCAAAAAATAAATTACTTATAATTAAAATATGTTTTATGTAAGTAAAGCCAAATCCTTATACTAAATTCTGTACAATTTTAGTATATTGTATAATTTTTTATTTTATTACAAAAGATAGCTCTAGTATTAGGCAACAGAAACTAATAACCTCTGAATGTGTTTATTAAAAAGATTAAATACCCAAAATCTTAGTAGGATTGACTGTTTTAGACAAAAAAGATTTTCACCTAGTAGCTGCATTTAATTGAGACTTTGGCTGATAAATATTGCTCAGAGACATAAAATTAAAGAGCCTTTACAGATGATCTCCTTCAACTTTTTCATTGTACCAAATATGGAAATTAAGAGCCAAATCGATTAAGTAACAATCTGAACCCTGGCACCCAGTCTCCTTATTCTCCATTTAGTATTATTTATTCTGACTCATGCTATTTTTTTATTTGCTTTTATGTAGAAAGCATATTTTTTGATAATTCTTTATTTGAAACAAGGACATTACAATACAGAAGGTGCACACTCTTTTGTTTAATAACTTACTTTTTAAGCTGTGCATGTTTGAACAGCAAAACTAAATTATAATTACATTGGTTATAATAAATGAATTATATAATAAATTATTTTTAAGTATTTGTTTTTTTTCTTTTATTAATTGCAGATGTAAACAGTGTTCCAGGTTGAAATCAATACAAAATCTAAATTCCCTGGTTGATAAAACATCATGGATTCCTTCTTCTGTGGCAGAAAGTTAGTAAAATTTGCATATCCTACAATTTTAACTGTATAATGCCATCTCACTGATTTATATTTCAGTATTTGTGAATATAGTAAAACCAGAGCAAAGGCTGAGCTGAAGTTTAACTTTCCTTATTTAAAACCATTCACAGTGATTGTAATAAAAGTGTGCATGTTTAAAATACTTGCAAACTCACTTTCAAGCTTCTGCCAGTATTTTTAATCATAATACGTATTTTAATATCCAGTAGTTTGTTTTAGCATTAATCATAAATACAGGTTCTGAAAAATCTCTCCAGTTCATAATATCTTGGGATGGAAAAGGATTTTAGAGAAAGCAATTACAACTTTTCACCTATTACAAGTCTTTAGCTTGAACAATAAAAATCTTTTTATAACATATACTTAACTGTGGTCATCCAACCTTTGCTTAAAGCACTTCCTGTGACAGCTGCAGCAGTTTGCCATTGAGTCAATTCCGACTTACAATGACCCTATATGACAGAGTAGAACCGCTTCATAGGGTTTTGTAGGCTATAATTTGTTTTGATTCTTTTTCTTTCTTTATTGTACTTTAGATGAAGGTTTACAGAGCAAATTAGTTTCTCATTAAACAATTAATATACATATTGTTTTCTGACACTTGTTGCCAATCCCACGACATGTCAACACTCTCCCTTTCTCGACCGTGGGTTCCCTGTTACAGCTTTCCTGTCCCCTCCTGCCTTCTTGTCCTTGCCCCTGGGCTGGTGTGCCCATTTGGTCTCATTTTGCTCTATGGGCCTGTCTAATCTTTGACTGACAGGTGAACCTCAGGCGTGACTTCAGTACTGAGTTAAAAACATGTCCAGGGGCCATACTCTCGGGGTTTCTCCAGTCTCTGTCAGACAGTAAGTCTGGTCTTTTTTGTGAATTAGAATTTTGTTCTACATTTTTCTCTAGCTCTGTCCGGGACCCTCTATTGTGACCCCTCTCAGAGCAGTTTGTGGTTGTAGCTGGGCACCGTCTAGTTGTACTGAAGGCTGTGGTAATTGTAGTCCATTAGTCCTTTGGACTAATCTTTCCCTTGTGTTCTTGGTTTTTTTTCATTCTCCCTTGCCCCAGACGGGGTGGGATGAGTGGAATATCTTAGATGGCCACTCACAAGCTTTTAAGACCCCAGATGCTACTCACCAAAGTAGGATGTAGAACATTTTATTTGTAAACTATGTTATGCCAGTTGAGCTAGATGTCCCCCGTCCCCAGCCCTCAGCCCAGTAACTCAGTCCCGCAGGGAGTTTGGATGTGTCTATGAAACTTCCATGACCTTGTCTTGATCAAGTTGTGCTGACTTCCCCAGTATTGTGTACTGTCTTACCCTTCACCAAAGTTACCACTTATCTATTGTCTAGTTAGTGTTTTTCCCTCCCCACCTTGTTACTATCAAAGATTGTTTTTTTCTGTGTGTAAACCTTTTCATGAGTTTTTATAATAGTGATCTCATACAGTATTTGTGCTTTTGTGATTGACTTATTTCATTCTGCATAATGCATAGGCTGTACTTTTTATGGGAGCGCATCTCCAGGTCACTGGCGGGTTTGGACCACTGACCTTTCCATTAGCAGCAGAGCACTTCACCATTGCACCACCAGGGCTCCTTTCTAGTGACAGAGTACTTATTCTGTTGCAAGGCAGCATGTTCCTGCCATTTAGGTAGTTCTTAATTGGAAGCGAAATCTGCCTGCCTGTAACTTTAACATGGGCCAACTTCTCAGAGTATATCTATTCCCTCAGAGTATATCTATTACTCAGAGTATATTACTCAGAGTATATCTGTTACTCAGAGTATATCTATTCCCTCTTCTGTAAGATAAACAGACTGTGCATTAGAAGATATCTCTCAGGCCTCCACTGAGTCTTTATTTCTCCAAGCAGCCACCCCTGCTTCCTTTGGCACTTTCCATACTTGTTAATGTTTTCTTTCTTCTCCTCAGTAAACATCCCACTTTACCTATGCTCTTCTCAAAGATTGGCATTCCAAGCTAGACATAGGGCTCCAGATATAGTTTGGCCAGTTCACAATATAATGAAAACCATTATTAACCTAAAACCGGACACTCCTACTTGCCTGAAATTTCATTGCATGCATATTTATTAGTATAACCAAAAAACAAACCTGTTGCCATCAAGTTGATTTTGACTCATAGTGACCCTATAGGACAGAGTAAAACTGCCCCATAGGGTTTCCAAGGAGTGGCTGGGGGCTGCTGACCTTTTGATTTGCAGCCCAGCTCTTAACCACTGTGCCACCAGGGTTCCATTTATTAGTATACTTTGGTTTTGTTTTTTCTTTCTCTCTTAATCCAGCTGTATGATACTGCTGTCTCATATTAATTTGTGGTCCAGTGAAGTTCCAGGTTACTTTCACATAAGCTACCCAGCCTATTCTTAATGCAATTGTTTATTTATTTGGTCCCTCAGGGTGGGTTTCAAGTTTGTCTTTCTTGTTTTTAACTCAGAGTTTTAACCTATTCACACCTTTTTGAATCCTAAAAGTCAATCTGTAGTAACAGTTCCTATCATATTCACATGCCTAGTTCATTCTTCTTACTTGCTTTTCATGGGTAGAAGATAATATTCCATTTTATACGTATATTGTGTGTCTTCCATTACGAAAAACAAAGATGTTCATCTTAATATATGAATTTTTATATGATTTAGGATCTCTTTAATTTCTTCTTTCTTCCTAATCTTAGCAAATTATGAAATCCCAGATTCTAAAATTTTTGTCCATTTAACGAGAAGCTGTCTCTTAAAAAATAACAAATGATTCCTTATGGTTTTAATGCAAAGAGGATAGACATGTTATAAAATCATAAATATTGAATTGTATGCTATTTTTAGAATATTCTGATATTTAAATTTTGTCTTCCATAAGGCTAGCATGTAATTAATTGCATTTCATGAATCAGTTTTTATGGTTTTTATCATGGTCTCTCATTTTAAAGATACATTATATTAATATTTAATCAAAGATTCAATTGCTTGTAATATTTATGAAATATTGTCACTGTACAGGTACAGTGTAATGTTCCAAAATGATTCTGCAAAATGAGCTTAATATAGTGGTGTGTGTGTAAGTTTTTCTTTTATCTCATGATTTATTTTAGCAATCAAAGTAGGTGCATACTATCATAAAACAATTTTTACTTTACCTTGAATATAAGAAATACTGACTCATGGTTTGATCTTTTTTTCCTTCACTAGTACTGGGTGTTGTACCCCTCCAATATGTGTTTGTTATGACATTTACTTTTGATGATGGAACAGGAGTTCTGGAAGCTTATCTTATGGATTCTGTAAGTAACAGAGATAGTAAACATATTTAGCTAAAAAATAGTGTGTTTTGTAAAATTTTGATACCTTTATACTTATTTTATTCCTGAAAGGATTTAAGGCAGCTTGAAAGAATAAATAAAATAAGATGGCATGAATCTTAATTTGCATGTGTATTTATCTCATTTCTGATTTGACGTTTTAAGTCTTAAAATTGAATAGTGAAAAGTTGAAGAATAGGTATCTGAGGAGTCATTCTCCATACCATGCAGAAATTCTGCTTCAGGGGCCAAAAGGCAGAGGCATGGCCATACCATCTAGGCGTTGTCTGTAGTCAGCATTTCACTGTCCTTTTTTAAGCCTCCACATTTCATAGTCTAGAGAACAAAGTTACTTTAACTGGGAGGTTGTTGTCAATGTGTGAAGTTAGGGTGCAGTCCATAAGACCACCTTTACTGCTGACACCACATCAGCCAAGGGAAGAGACGTATAGGGCAGAGTCCAGGAAAGCTCCAGACGGAGCTTCCAGTCGTCCTTTCTCTGTGAAGTCATGGACGTTTTTAATACATGAGGAGTATTGCCCACAGGGAACGCTTACCCAAGCCTTGTTGTCCAGAGTTTTGATTAGTCATGGTTGAATGCTCACAGGGCTCATCTCAGTCTCCAACCCTTCTGGAGGGCAAGCTGATACTATGTGCCCTAAAACCCCTGCCCTAAATTGTCTTGTTAGACTCTAGGTATGACCCAAGGCCCCGGACAAAGACACTCCTATCAGGCATGATATTCCAGGGGCTTAGAGATTACCTCCCAGAAGACAAGGGCAAAGGCCAGACCTCATTTGGGGCAGTGTTAGAGTTTTTACTACACACATTGGGAAAGGCATGAGGTTTCCAGTGGGATTAAGAGGAGAATTTTTCACCCACCTACCCAATTTATTTATCCATTTTTAATAAATATTTAATGAGCACCTGCTGTGTGCCACGTGCTGCTGTATATGATGGGGATACAGTAGTGAGCAAAGCAAGTAAAATCCCTTCCCTCCTGAAGCTATAATCTAATGGGGGAGGTAAAAATTAAACATAAATACATACCATATGTTATACCCTTTTAAACTTATTACTCGATTTACACAAAGAGAATAGTCAGCTCACTTTTTTTTAATCCTCATTTTTATCATTTTAAGTCAAAGAAATTTAGCTTGATTGTAAAATACCTGAAAGCTGTTTGTAGATTAATGTAGTAAATCAGATTTCAAAGTTTATACCAGCACTGTAATTTACAAATCCAGTAATCTTGATAGAGTGAACTAGTCTAGATTATTTTAGTTAATTAGAAAATATTGAAACGCTTTTTTATTAGTTATATTTTAAATAAAGAGCAACATCATTTCCTTTTTTTCTATCATATAATTTTATTTTTATAGGACAAATTCTTCCAGATTCCAGCATCAGAAATCCTAATCAATGATGACCTTCAGAAAAGTATGGATATGATCATGGATATGTTTTGTCCTCCAGGAACAAAAATTGGTAGGCAATAATATTTTAATCCTAGTCTCTTTTTTTTTTAAATAGCACCTAGCTTATATCTAATCTGTGGACTTTTAGAAGTATGAATATTTTTTAAATCTGAATCTAAATGAATTACTAAGTAGTGAGTGATTACTGTATGATAATGTTGTAATTATTTGGAAGTAAAATAAAGCCAAGCAGTTTTGATCAAAGGAACAATAAACACTGTATTTATGCATACAAACATTTTCATTGAAATTATACCAGTTAGAGATGAGATTTTGGCAAGAAACATTTTCTGTAAACTCCATTTAGCCAATTTAATTCATTGATGAATTTTCTTTTCAATCTTAACTAGTTTCAAATTTTACAAGTTTTTATTTACTAATTATTTTTATTGCTATAGTTTTCTGTATAATATAAGCATTTGATTCATCAACCATGTATTTTCAGGTCAGATTGTACTCATTACACCTACTGCCACAGATTTCCTTCTGTGGCTGTTATTTCTATTTATGTTGAAACTTGCAGATCTAAATTATATTAAGACAATTTAGTTCTTCTAACAATTTTTCATCAGTAATAAATTTTACCAGCTGCAGATTTAGCTGTTGTTGGTTTAACTTTTACATGTTATTTTTAGTCAGACTTTATTTTCCCTTGGTCAGTTTTTGCATTTTGTAAGAATTCCAAAAAGATAGGAGTTTTTTTCATCCATAAAAGTTTAACTTTTATACCTTTATTTATTGCCAGTTTTAATTTGTGTTGGCTATTTTTTCTGAGAGCAAAAAATATTAGTGTGTTTTTTTTAAACGTTTCCTACTGCTGAACATTTAGATTGTTTCTAATTTTTCACCATTGTAAGTAAAGTTTCGTAAATTCCTCTCATTTTTAATCTAATTGTGGAAATAAAACATCATATCAAAAAGCATGGGCCTGATAGGCTATTGATACATACCACCAGATTGCTTTTGAAGACTGTTTTACCTATTTATAGTCATACCAGTAGTATAGCACAGTGCCTGTCTCACTTCACTCTTGCCAGTGTTGAGTACTATATTGGATGTCTCTAACACCAGAACTTGAGGAAACATAAACTTTTCTAGAAGTTATAAGTAAATTTACCATGGTCATAACCAGAGCTTGGAAATGGCATCTATTGCTTCTGTCATTGCCAGGGCTCAGTACCTGGTACCTAATGGGTGTGTCATCCAACAGGTGCAAGGGCTTGAGTTGATTTGAAGTTCATGTTGAGTTTCTTTCCAGTTAATCAAGAAAAGACCAGGGGTGGTTAATAAGCAGTCAGCAATTAAAAAAGGAATAAAAGTTGGGGATGAAATAACTTAATACCTTAGCTATCACACATTTTGAAAACTCCAGATTTAATCACATTTATCTGTTGTTGGGGAAAAAACATTCAAATTAATCATGATTGCTTCAAAACAATAATATGAATCCAATGTGTATTTGGAAGAGTGGATAATGTTAAATTTCCTAAGTGCATTTTGCTTTTCAAGCTACATTGAATATATGTTAAATTTTCTAGTTAAGCTGTATGCTTAGATACATATTTCAGAGGTATATGTTTAGTTTTAATGGTTAAATAACATTTTCTTTTTGATTTGTAGATGCGTATCCATGGCTGGAATGCTTCATCAAGTCATATAATGTCATCAGTGGAACAGAACAGAAAATTTGCTATCAGATTTTTGACACAATGGTTGCAGAAGATCTTATCTAATATTGCCACCTAGCTTAGCATATGTAGAATATTGTAATTTTAGAAAGTATTACTATTTATATGAGATTGTTATAAAACACATGAGATTTAGCTCTTAGATTTAGTTTTGAAATACAGTCTATGTCTCCATTTTAACGACTATTTAAATTTTTTTTGACATATAGACATTGTGTTGTTATCTTAATGCCTTCCTGTTAGTATGTTAGAAACGCCCCTCCTGCTCAGAATATCCAGCATGATGGTTCCCAGGGGTGTAAACAAAAAACAGATACGAGTTTATAAGTATATAGGAGAACTGTGCTTTCATTTACTTTCTGCAGTCCTTTTGGAGAAGCTGTTTTGTTCACTAAAAATCATTTTTCCGGTTGAGTTTTCTGTCTCTCAGCTACTAATTCCCCCTCTGTCCTTCATCCCACACTGGCCTTCATTTCCTGCCTGGATTCTCACGTCAGCAGTGTTGATGGTTTTAGCATGGGCATGGGATTAGAAAATGCCCTTACTTTAAATCTCTTAGCTTTTACTAAGTGCAAGGTAAATAGCTGCTAGTGGGTTTGTTTTGCTTTGTTTTGTTTTGCTTTTGTCCAGAGCAGCCTGTTAAACAAGTACTGCTTATAGAAGTGTTTCTTTAAATGAACTACAGTAAACTTAAATGAGTGATTTGCTTTAAGTGGAAGTGGCAGAATTGTTTGTTTAGGTACTGACAGTGACATTTTAGGATAATTATGTGCTTTGATTGCGTGTTTCTCTCCATGCTGTTAGCAGTTAGTCCATTCCACCTCCATCTAATAAAGTGGTCAGATTTAGAATGTTAGTTACTTAAATCATGTTACCCTTCTTGTTTGTTTGTTTGTTATATAAAATACCTATATCACAGGCTAAACGTCAGATGAGCTGTTAACTCAGTATAATAATCTAATTTTTACCAGACAAGGTTTTTCAAATTTAAAATCATGACTATGCAGTTTTATACAAACATTACTGTATATTTGTATATAATATGTATATTATATATGTTACTAAAGACTGAAATGCAGATCTGCCTAGTTCAGTATTAGTGAAGAATAAATAAATACACACATTTTAACTGTTTCATTTATTTGTCCCAGGTTGAGCTGAGGCACGATATGAGGGAAAGAATCATAGCAGGTATGTCTATATAGAAAATATTTCTGGCTGTTATATACCAGGTACTGTGCTAAGTACTTCACATGTATCTGACCTTACAACAACCAATTTTCCTGATAATTGATAATGGAGGCTTGATTGATAAGCTAGCTTTACTAAGTGCTAGAGTCAGTGCTTGACATCAGATACCTCTGTTCAGAGCCTGCGCTGTTAACCACTTCAGGATTCTGGAGCAAAAGCTATCATGGAGTTGACTGCAAATGAGTGCTGCCTTAAATAGTTGAAGTAATACTGGAAATACAACAGGAGGCAGTGATAATGTTTTCCTACACTATCAGAAGGCTTTTAATAATCTGTCAAGAAAAGGGGTTGAATATCTGATTTCCTCTCTCATAGTAACCCTAAATTCTACTTCCTGTATGCTGGAGCACATCTCTAGACCTAACTGCCCGTCTCCCATCGTAGCTGAGCTGTATCAGTTTGTTTGAGACAGTGAGAGAGACTGAGGCTGCTGTTTTGGGCATGTAAACTCTTGGTTTGAAACGTTTTTCAGGGAAAAACTTTAAAAACCCTTCAGCTGAACATATGAGTTTCAGTATCTACGATGTGCTAGCGATACAGAGGTGAGATAGATAATTTCTCTGCCTTCAGGAGGTACTCAGTCTAGAAGAGTAAGAGTCAAAAGTGTATCAGCTTCTCATTGTGAGCCTGAGGCAACTCCAAGCTTACAAAGGAAAACTCTTACAAGTGTTCGAGAAGATAAGTCATTTCTCTTTTTCTTTTCTTTTTTTTTTTCCCAAACAAACTCCCCACATTGTCATCATTTGTTTTGTTTTGGTTTCTCTTACCCCCACCCCCTCCACTTTTCAGTTTTGAACAATAAAAATCCCCTTCAGCACCAGTGTGTATCCCATGGAAATGTATGTGCCTACCTTATCCTAATCGTGAACCTGGAGCGATAGGCAAGTTCAGCAACTAGACTGCAATTTATTGTGCTTAGATTCGAGCCCTGTTTCCTGTGTTTGGCAGACTTATAACTTAGGTAGCTCAGCTGTATTGTTGTAGAAACTCCACTTATTTCCAAAGCCTGGTTCTCAGACTGAATTGATTCATCATTAAAATCAAAATGCTCAGCGTTAGCTGCTACCCCGTGGTTTCTTGCCAAGTTTTTTGCTTGTTTTTCCGCTTAGTTACAGTCTCCAGACAAATATAGAAAACTGTGTTGAGTGCAGTGAGATGAGAATAATAGTATTTTGGACATGTATTTCCTATTCAGTGGAGAAGTGATTGCCTAGCTTTCTGATTTACAGACTCCAAGTCTCAGTGGCAGGAGATGCAGGCAGTGTGATAGAGGGAGGAGGGAAGTATGCCCCAACACCTTCAGAGCCAGAGAGTTTATTCTATTTCACAGCAAAACATGGGTCAACTAATTATGATTTTCCATTGAACTCTTAAGTCCTATTTTTAGTGCAGTCCTCTCAGTTTCTAGCAGTAGGTTAACCATAAATCTTATTTTCTCTAGAGCTTTTTAATTTTTTTCCCTTGTGTTTTCATAGATATGTTAACAGGAAGTTGAGAGAGAATATGTCGTGGGATTGTTGGAAAGCCTCATTCCACCTTAAAACAGAATTATCTAGTATGTTGTTGTTGTTAGGTGCCGTCGAGTTGATTCCGACTCACAGTGACGCTATGTACAGCAAAGCAAAACACTGCCCGGTCCTGTGCCATCCTCACAATCGTTATTATGCTTGAGCTCATTGTTGCAGCCACTGTATTAATCCATCTCATTGAGAGTCTTCCTCTTTTCTTGCTGACCCATCCATCTACTTTACCAAGCATGATGTCCTTCTCCAGGCACTGATCCCTCCAAATAACATGTCCAAAATGTGTGAGACGAAGTCTCGCTATCCTTGCTTCTAAGGAGCATTCTGGCTGTTATCTAGTATATGTTTTGTAAAATATTCTTATATACTCTATAGCCAGTAGTATTCAGAGGCTGCTGTTCTTTTGAGTCTTTGGCTAATACTTCCTTTGTGCTACAAAATAATTTTGTAGGTCCTATGTCAGGATCTGTAAAATGATATTTTCCCTCCAGTTGCCCTGGAGAAGGTCATCTGTCTAGTTCTAGTATTTGCCAACGGACGTGATGTGGGGATTTCTCTTAACCCCTTTTATGGTCAACGACGATACTGGTAGACTCTCCCTTTCAGATTTAAAATTATATAAATTTTAAAATGTAGGTTATGTGCAGCCTCTTCCTCCATTGCCAGTTTATGCAGCATTCTTTTTTTTTTTTTTTAAATACTCCATAGGATTGTCTCTTGTCCCTGCACCATTCTGTATGGGGAAGAGAATGCATGTCTTAGAAAATCTGAGGCAGTCAGTTACTCTTTATCTAGATGCAGTAATGAAAACTGCACTGCTTCCAGGCTCTTTCTGTGGCCGCCATCAATTATAGTGCTTTATATGAAGGAAGTATACATGCCAAGGTCCAATGCATCATTTCTTTTTACCTCTGGTCCTGTGGCACACTGGGAGTTGTTTCCAAGGGAATATAGACATATTGATGGAATGAAAGAAGCTGAATATCTCTCTGTCTGCCTTAGAAAGCAGTCTCCACACGATAGAGCACTGGCTGCTCACTTTCCTAATCAGTGTAGATCCTGTGCCTTAGCTAGTTGGAGGCCACAGGAACGGGCCAAATCTTTGGCTGCCCACTTCCCAGCTGACTGTGCAGTTTCCTTTCAGAAGTCAAAGCATGTATTGGCCATTACTTGTGACTCTCAGTCCAGCCAATTCTCTTCTACACTTTCCAGAAGCTTTCTTGGTCTCCGGAAAAGAGCTACATTCTTCTGGGTATTTTCAGTGTTGTTTTAAATGTTGACCTTCTTGGATTTCATCAAGTTTTGTTTTTATCTACCGTATTTTTTTTATAATAAAAGTAATTGGTACTTGTAAGATTTTGAAACAACATAGAGTCTATAAAGTTAATCTCACTCTTGCCCTAACCAGGACCCCAGTTTGGGGTATAATTTTCCTGACTTCTTCCCTAAGAACATGTGCATATTATGTGTATACATACATTTTTTCAAATAGCATCACACTAAAAATATAGGCCTGCAACTTTGGTCACTTTATATAATGAACTTTTTTCATGTCGTTACACATAGAGGGAGAAACTCATTGTTTCTTAGAGCATAAGTAACTTTTTAGTGGGTATTCTCCAATTATTTCACTTTCTGTTTCTATAGTGGTTTTTTGTCTGCTTAGATGTTCTGTTTTTTATTGTGCCAATTTTGGAATTTTACATTTCTATAAGAGTATATCCATGTTACCTATTTTCCTGAATTTATTATATTATAGTTATCCATGATATTATTTTATTATTTCTTTAATCTGTATTTTGTCTGGTATCATTTCCCCTTTAAATGAACCTGGAGCCCCTGGGACCTGGTTTCACTATGTCTCCTGGAGGTTTTCAGTTGATCAGATTCTTGGAGGACTGCCCAGACTTGTAGAAGTCTGGAGGTGAATATACAGCTCAGGACTCTTCTTGACATAGTTGTCTTGAAATATTCTTTCATGCTTAGAACTCATTTTGCAGAGTACAATGTTAACGTAAGAAGGTAGAACACCTGTCTGCAGTGCTTTTCCTTAGGGAATTCAGGCTTTCTGAAGGGAAGGCTGTGATGGGTCACACTGAAGTCCTGACTTCATCTTACGGGAAATAAAAAATGTCTCTTCTTGAGCTGGCCCCTCAGGATCTCTGAATGGTGTCAGAGCCACCTACCATTCCAGGAAAAGAGTCCTAGTCAGCTAGTTAAATCTGAGCATAAAGATTTTTCTTCTTTTCCCTCTGGTACTTGGAAGTAGTATTGGAACCCACCCAGTAGGAACTTACCAATGCGCTCAGGTATGTGAGACTTACGTCTTCTGGCAGACAGGAAACGAATCAGGAGCACTACATATTATTTTTCCTTGCAGTATTGTGATTTAAGCTGTCAGGAAATTCAGGATCGGTTAGGGTTTCAAAGTGATGATCATTTTACATGGAGATAAATGTCTCTTCCATTCAGGACGCATGTGATGGGTTGAGAAGTGTTAGCTATCAATTACAATGATAAGGATAATGCATCAGTGTATATGGGAGCTCTCCCTCAGATGCGCCAGTTGGTGAAACATGGATAGTTCAGAGACTCCTCTGCTATTTTTAGACTATAGTAACATCTTAATGTCTCTTTTTTTTTTTTTTTTCCTTCTCATTGAAATCTAGGCCACAAAGTCACATTGGTGTATGGGTGTGTTTTTTTAATTCTCTGCCTTGAGTTTGCTTTGCAGGATACAGTGTTGGAATTTACTTGACCACCTAGTTAACAACCTCCAAATAAAGAAATTTACAACTTGTGTGAAGTTTCTTTTTAAAAGCTTGGAGCATGTATTTGTTGAAAACCTTAACCTTCCTATTATCTGTAAATAAAATATTCCATCAAACATTGTTGCCGGCTTTAAGCAGGTACCTTTTTGTATCCAGTCCTGAAGCTGTGGTATGTATGTGCCTTCTTTCATTCTTCTATACCTTCAGAATGATTTTTCCCTTCTTGGAAATATGAACTCCCCGATAAAAGCCAGTTTGTCTCCACATATAACTGCTGAGCAGACTTTTGTCCTCCATGAGAGGGCAAAGTCCTTTTAGAATTTAAAATCTCTGGTCAAGTTTAGCTACATCTGAAGTCATTTTCTGTCATACGTTCATTTACAAATAGTAATACAACCAAGGAGCCCTGGTGGCGCCATGGTTATGCATTCCACTGCTAAACAGAAGGTCAGTGGTTCGAACCTACCAGTTGCTCCATAGGAGAAAGATGTGGCAGTCTACTTCCGTAAAGAGGCAGCCTTGGAAATCCTACAGGGCAGTTCTACTCTGTCCTATAGGGTCACTGGGAGTGGGAGTTGACTCGATAGCCCACAGCAACAAATACAACCAAACTCTCATAGCACTATAGAAAAGTTAAGACATTTTAAAGTCAAAATTACAAACCTCTGGAGTCAGGTGATAATGCAGCTAGTAGTAGATAGGCATGGTTGTGGTTTCATTTGGTTGGCTAGATAATCCTATGTGCTTATTCCCCATTAAACAAGGTTCTAGAATAATACACTTAAATTTTGGAATTGTTGATAAATATTTCTGTAATGATCAAAGCTTAAGTAGATGTTAAGATAAAGAATACAAAGTACAAAATAGGTATTTAAAAGTCAACTCATACATTTACATTCATTCATTATTCATACTTTTTCTGTATCCAGAAAGGATTTGATATGGCTGGCAGTCAAAGACAGACATGGGACACAACCGTTAGAAATAGAGCAAGAAAATAAAGCCAAAAAAAAGCCCTATGGAGCACAGTTCTCATCTGACACACGTGGAGTCACGATGTGTTAGAGTCACCGCGACCACAACTTTTTTTTTTTTTTTTTAACTAATTTACTGATAGCTATGAATCTTGAAAATAAAAAAACAATTGAGTGACCAAAAATCTCAGAGTTGAATATAACCTTTACCACCGTGGTCTGGTAGACAGTAAGCACTCAGTAAAAATTTGTTGAACTGAAAGAAAAGAAGAAGAATATGAGAAAAAGAAATAGGGCAAGAAATCAAGAGCCAGTTAAATAGAGGGAAATGTTCAAACAATCCAAAAACCCTAACAGAAGGGACGCCCGGGTTCTGGATGAAGATGGATGCACTTAAACATCAAAGTGCAACAGGTTACACGGCTCTTATTTTAAAAAACCACCACATCGTGTTATTAGGGTGTACAAACCTTTCTTTACCTTAAGAGTAATAAGTGTGGACTTTTATATTAAGCACAGAGAACAACATAATGATTTATGCAATTAATAGTAGTTATTTAAAAGGGTAGAAACTTAACCCAAAATGGTAGGAGGTAAGCTCTGAAGATGGAAGAAATAGATCAGAGTAGTTTTCCACAGGCTGTCTACCATTTGGCTATTTGAAGCACTTTAGTTTTTATTGTTGATTTTTTTAATGGTTAGTTTGAAGAGTCTCAGATATTTCTGCATATTCCAAAATTATTAGAAGCATTAACGAATCAGATTACAAAAGGAAAATGTCAAATTTTTTTTTAGTATTAAAATACATACATATTCCTGTTTGATACAAATGTCACTGAGAAAATTATACTAGTTGCCGTGGAGTCAATCCAGACACATGGCGACCGTGTATGTCAGAGTAGAACTACGCACCATAAGGTTTTCATTGGCTGATTTTTCAGAAGTAGATTGTCAAGCCTTGCTTCTGAGGTTTAAAGTGATTTTAGAGCAGTGGTTTCCTGGACCCAGAACTTTACACTTAAAACCTAGGTAATTTTAATCAGATTGAACAAAGATTTTGTGCGTATGAAGGTCAGTAAATTCCATCCCCCTGGTGATTCCTTTTGCAGGTAAAAAATTTAGAACCACTATTTTAGAGATTATTTAGAGCATGAGGTCTGTATCTGATTGCTTCAAAGATTTATTTTACCTGCCTGTTCCTGAAAGCATTTGAGTTTAAGCACTTTGATGTAGAATCTGGACCAGTGAGTGGTTCTTAACCCTAGCTTCATGTTATAGTCACCTGGTGAGAGAGCTTCAAAAGAATCAGATCCTTGGACCTCACCCTGGGCTGTAGCTCCAGTCTGTATGATTCACCTTCTGGCTGCACTTGTAA